GACTGGTTGGTTTGAACCAATGACCTTGCAGTTCAAACTGATGTGGTGATCAGTGCTTAGCCTATAATACCACACCAGGACTAGTAGAGGACCAAATTACCTACTGTTGGAATAAAACTGGTTTTCTAAACCAAATTCTTTTTATAATAATTCTAAAGCTTATTTCTAAGAGAATGCATTAATATAAAGAATTATTTGGATGGCATTATGCAAACCCTTCCCTGTTTAAAAATAGTTCTCTTTTTGTCTTTGTCAGGGTTTGTCAGCCTCTCCAGGAATGTGTTAAAAATGATTTTAAAATTTATAATTTAAAAATTTTATAATTGTTCAGACACAGTCTTCTCATATTGCGGGTTTTTTCTTGGATTTATTTGTTTCTTCTTTTATAGTTCAATAAAAGAAAACAGAAATGCCTCTGAGATTGTTAAGACAGTGAATTTGCTGATCAATTCCCTGAGCACAGACTTTCTCTGGGATTATATGATGAGGTGCTTTGAGGATTGCTTTAGGTAAGTATTCAGTTCTGTTTTATGGAATATTTAGGAAGGATGAGAGGGGTTAAAGACAGTGCCCTAACTTCCTAATGCGACTGCAACAGAAATACAAGTTATTTGGTGTCAAGTCAGTTTTGACTCATAGCGACCCTGTATAGGGATTCCAAGGAGCAACTGGTGGATGTGAACTGCCAACCTTGCAGTTCACACCAACCTTGCAATCCAGTGCTTATCCTACCACACCACACTAGAACTCCAGAAATACAAGTGGTGGCTTTAAAAACAATTTATTTTTTCACAGTTAGAAAAATACCACCAGTTGCCATCAAGTTGATCCTGACCCTGTATGCAGATATGTGCCGAGTAGAGCTGCTCCAGAGGGTTTTCAGGGCTGTGACCTTTCACAAGCAGATGGCCAGGCCTTTCTTCTGAGACGCCTCTGGGTGGATTCGAACCACCAGCTATTCATTCGCAGGTTCAAATCCATCTAGTGACACTTCAAAAGAAAGGGTTAGCAGTTTACTTCCCAGAGTCAGCCATTAAGAACCCTGTGGCACACAGTTCTACTCTGATAAACACAGAAACACGGGGTCACCATGAGTTGGAATAGACTCAGTGGCAGCTAGTTAACTTTTATTTATTTACTTATTTTTAATTTACAGTGAAGAAAATTAAACCAGATTGAGTTGTATCACATTCGCTAGATTAATACAGAGGTACTCTGGAGAACCAGTATAGGCTTATTAATTTACCTATGATATTAACTTTATCTATATAGCTAATGGAAGGAGCTCTGGTAGCGTAGTGGTTATGAATCCGACTGCGAACCTTAAGGTCAGCAGTTTGAAACTACCAGCTGTTCCATGGGAGAAAGATGAGGCTTTCTGCTCCCATAAAGATTTACAGCCTCAGAAACCCTGTACAGGGTCGCTATGAGTCGGAAACAACTCCACAGCACATAACAACAACATATATAATGGAGTCCTGGTGTGGCGCTGTAGGATAAGCACTGAGCCTCAGGGTAGGTTTGAACTGCAGGGTTGGCAGTTCAAATCCACCAGCCGCTCCTTGGAAAACCCTATAGAGGGTCGCATGTGTCAGAACCTACTAAAAGGCACCAAACACCAATTTATCTAGTTGTTATTTTAAAAGAAGTGTTGATTTTCCAAGATAAACAGCTAACAATAGAGTGATCAGTGGAGTTACAAGTCTCTGTGGAAGCTCAAGAATTCTACCAAGTCAAATTGTTGATGAACACATGGGGGTAACGTTACCTGGAGGAGTTGCCTGGTGTTACTCCTATGCCATGTTGTGAAGCTGTGAGGCCTGCTATGTTCTGCAGCCCAGACTGGTTCACTTGGAGCATACCTTTGATTTGGGGTTGGGACATTAGCCATGTCCACCAGGCATGGAATCCCGCATGCACAACTCTCAGCTGAATTCATGACGTTCAAGTCAGAGAGGACCCTTTCTGTAGACAAGCAGATTCAATTATGTAACCTCTCTCTATTACATAAGGAACTCTGGTAGCGTAGTGGATACGAATCGGGCTGCAAACCTCAAGGTCAGCAGTTCAAAACTACCAGCCGCTCCGCAGGAGAAAGATGAGGCTTTCTGCTCCCGTAAAGATTTACAGCCTCGGAAACTCTGTACAGGGTCGCTATGAGTCGGAACCGACTCCACGGCACTCAACAACAACAACAACAACAACTCTATTACATAATTTTAGTCACCCAAGCTTTGTTACTGGAACCACAGAGTTGCATTATATTTAAGCATGTTATAATATGTTACAATAACAAAGTTGCAATAAATACCTTTGCTAGAAATTATGACAAATGGTTGACATTGTTGTAGGAGCAAGAATTCGTTTGTTTTTCTCCTCCTGTCTGATGTAGGCCAGCGAAGCAAGGTAACTCGGTCTGGAAAAGCTTCAGCTCTCCCCCCACGGTCTCAGAGCTCTGCACCCTGCTTGTCTTCCTGCTGGATGTTATTCCCTTGGTAAGGCAGCTTTGCCGTGAAAAACCAATCTGGTGCATGCTGTGATTGTGTCTTTTTTTATTTTTGGAGGACACAATTTAATTCATAACATTATGTTAAAATGACAATATTTTGGATATATTGGGTTAAATAAAGTACATTATTAAATTTAATATTACCTGTTTCATAGGGTTGTTATGATGACTAAATGAGTTCACATATGGAGGGCACTTGGTACATGGTCTAGCACATAGTAACTTGTCAGTCTTATTCAATATTAAGTTCCTGAGGATGGAGATCTGGTCTTAGAAACCCTGGCTTTCTTCTGTGATTGTGTCTTTTTAATGTTGTAAAGGAGTTCTGGTGTGGCGCTCTAGGATAAGCATTGGACTGCTAACTGTAAGGTTGATGGTTCAATCCTATCAGCTGCTCCTTGGAAACCCTATACAGAGTCACTATAAGTCAGAAGTTACTCGATGGCACTTAAAAAGTATAAACTTAAGTTTACTGAGAAGTTGATATTAGCTGCCGTTGAGTTGATTCCAGCTCGTGTTGACTCCATGTTTACAGAGTAGAACGGTAATCCTAACTGACATGGATCACCAGGCTCAAACCGCCACCTTTAGGTGACCAGTTGAGAAGAATCCATTTGCACCACCTGTGCAGCACTATTTTAGTGTTTGTCTCAGTATGAGAGACATAACTGGGTGCAATTTACTTTTATGTCTTATTTAAAAGGGATTACAACTTTGCAGCTAGTTATAAGTTGGTGGAGCTGAAGTTACTTAAACTAGATGATAAACTAGATATCAGTTACCTAGGGCTGAGGGTAAATATATTTTCTGGTGAAAATTATGGTTGTTTCATTTACTTTAAGGAAACAAATTTCCTTAAGCTAGACATATGTGGTAATTCTATTCTTTTATATTAGAAGAGGGTATTGGATGAGGGGGAGGAATGCCCATTAATATTTTGGGATTCAAAGGAGACATGAATATATATTCCTATTTGAGAACTGGCATAAAACATGCAGCCGAAGTTAAATTTCCCTAAGATGCTGTTTTGAATTGCACTTTTTCCCTCTGATTCTAAACTGAAAGCGTGTTTTGGTTTGTTTTTCCCACAGGAGCTTTACTCAGAGGTGCAAACCCAGTATCTCCCGCAGGTACTCAACTGCATGCTGCAGCCCCTGGCTGAGAACTTGGAGTCTCTGAGTTTATCCGAGCTCACACAGGCCTTAAAGACATGCTTCAAAGTACTCAACAAGGTCCAGATGCCACCTTCCTACCTGGACACAGAGCCAGCAAGCGAGAGCTCGGTGTGTGCACTGGGAGGCTGACGTGGTTTTCCATGTTAGAAAGTCATTAGAGTAGAGAGAATAGGAATGTACAGTAATACCTGAAGTACATTTCCAAAGCCCTTAAATGCTATAAAAGATCTTAGTGTAAAAAGTTACCCCCTTCTCTTCACCAGCTCCCGCCAAGCTACTTCCCTCCCAGAGATTGCAATAGCAGATAAGGATTAGATATGATTAGCCTGCCAAGACCTTTCCCTCTGTGTCTTGGTATACATGTGATTTTGGTTCTTTAAGATATGATTGAATATGACATTCAAGAAAAGACAAAATTGAAGAGACTGTGGAATTATCAGTGGTTTGAGGGATTCGGTAGATGGGAGAGGGATAACAACTGCAGCTCTGGGCAGTTTGGGGGCACTGAAACTGTTCTCTACAGGGTACTGTCATGGTGGGTACACAGCACAACACCATGTGTTTGTCTAAGCCCATGGAATTGTTGTTAACTGCTGTCAAGTCCATTTCGACTTAGTGACTCTGTATGGGGTTTTCAAGGAGCACCTGGTGGGTTTGAACCACCCACTTTGCAGTTAGCAGTCAGTGTTGACCCTACAGCACCACACCACAACACAGAAAGTGAACCTTAATGTCAACTATGGACTTTTGTTAATGTCTCAGTATTGGTTCATCAGTTACAACCAGTGAACCACAGGGATCTGAGATGTTAAAAAATTCTTTATTGTGAATTCAGTGAAGGTTTGCAGACAAGATCATCAGTTTTATCTTCAACAAATCATACACTTGGTTTCACCTCAACGATTGCAATCCCTTCCACCAAACAACAGTTACCCAACTTCGTCCCTGTGGTTCCTATTTCCATTCCACCCAGCTTCCCATCCCTTTTCAACTTTGTCCTTAAGTTCCCCTTTTGATTTTGAATGATTGTTCATGGTGAGCATCCCTTACTAGTGTGTTGACCCTCCTATGTACCTATCCCACCACTCGTCTGTCAGTTTGTTGTACTGTGGTAGCTTATGTGTTGTTGTGATTCTGGAAACTATGCCACAGATGTTTTGAATACCAAAAGGCTCACCCATGGTGGACAGGTTTCAGATGAGCTCCTAGACAAAGACAGACTAGGAAGAATCAACTTACAGAAAAGACAAATATGTCATTTTTCAACATAATCTCTTTGCTTTTCAATATACTTTGTCCATCTGTCAACAAGTTTTCATATTCCCTTATTAAAAAAATGTTTTAGGCTGAGCTTTGAGCCATGAATGCACTGCTGTTTTCACTTCTTCATCAGAGATGGATCTTCATCCTCAAAGGCTGCTCTCAGGAGACCAAACAGGTGAAAGTCAGATGAAGCAAGATCAGGAGTATAGAGAGGATGCTCTAACACCTCAAAACACAGTTTTTGCAGAGGTCCAACAGTGTGGGCAGAGGTGTGAGGACATGCGTTGTCATGCAAGATCACAAGGCCCTTGGATAGCAGTCCTGTGCGTTTAATCTGAGGTTTAGGCTTCAGTTCTTCAGTGAGCAGCTCATTTGTAATGATCATTGTTGATTGCTGAACCTTTTACCTAATAGTGTTCCAATACTGGCCCTCAAGAATCCTAGAAAACTTAAGCATCAGTTTCCCAGTTTATGGTTGACATTTTTTGTTGTTGTTGTTTTATTGTGTATGGTTGACTTTTGAACTGTTTCATAGTCAGTAATTGAGGATGTTTCTAATCCATACTCTGCCATTTATTCTCTGCCTCATAGTGATGAATCCATGTCTCATCACCAGTAATGACTTTTTTAAAGAAAATTTTAACTTCCTTAAAATAGCGTTCCTAATTTTGTTTGCAGATGTCCAAATGCTTCTGTTTATGCTTTTGCTTCTGTGAGTTGCTTTGGTACCCATCTTGCATAAACTTTTCGAAACCCAAGTCTGTCGTGGATTATTTCATAGGCAAAGCCATGGCTAATTTGCAAATGATGTGCCACATAATCCACTCATATATTTGACAGAATCATTTCACATGCATGCTCAATGTTGTCACCACCCATGGATGTGGATGGGAGTTTTAATATAACCAGGGTCCTCACGCTTGTATATCTTTTAAAGTTTATATATTATATGTATATAATATATGGAGTCCTGGCATGGCATTGTAGGATAAGCACTGGACCGCAAGATTGCTTTGAACTGCAAGGTTGTTATGAGTCGGCACTGACTCAACAGCACTTAACAACAGCAGCAATATAATATAAACTTTTGAAATATATTTATATATGTATGTATATATGTTTTATAATATGTAATTTTTAAAAATAGCTTCTTCTAGCTCTCTCCTCTTGTCTTATTTCTTTATGCCTTTAATTTACCCTCAGCAAGTGTCGTAATTCATATATATTTTTTTATTTATTTATTTATTTTTAATTTAAATAACTGTTTTGAATCCTGAAGGCCTAAATAAATAATACAAAGTGACCCTGGAAACCAGATTCCTCAAAAAGCACCTTGGTTCAGCATCCTACTCTGGGTCTTCCACTCCTCGAATCCCCACTTATTTGTGTGGTTCCTAAACTTTTTCACACAGGGATGACCTTGGGGTAAAGTTACAACTTTTTAAAATGGAAAGAATGCATGCACGTTTGCACAACCTAACAGATACTAGAGCCCCTTGGCCTTCAGAGATGTACAGTGAACACTTTCCTTTCTTACAGAGTCCAGTGAAAGTCGACAACAGGGAAATCCTTATAGAAACAAAGGCTGTGATTCCAGGTGATGAAGACACCCCGTTTCCTCCGCTGAAATCGGAAGACAGTGGGATCGGGCTGAGTGCGTCATCACCGGAGCTCTGTGAGCACCTGAGGACCCCTAGGGTCTCCCCAGGAAGAGATGATGTTTGGAAGAAAGGTGGAAACATGCAGCAGACCTTGCATTACATCCAAGAGCTCATCACAAACTTTGCCAACAAGCACATTTTTGGGGTCCCACTAACAGCCTCTGGGGAAGAAGACAAGTCCGAAGAGCCTGCAGGCAACAGGGACAAGAGCAGGACCCGGAACGCCATTGCTGAGGATGCTGGCAGGAAGAACTCGTGGGATGCCAAGTCCATCACTGTGCCCCAGTTCAAGCAGATGCTTTCAGACTTGTTCACGGTCCGAGGGTCTCCGTTTAAGATGAAAAGTTCAACTTCCCCATCATCTTTGCCCAGTAGCCCTTTCAAGAAAAAGGAAGGAGAATGGGATGTTACCCAGGTGGTCATTGACCTGGGGGGCTCACGGGAAGACTGCAGGGAGGCCTTCGCTGCTGCCTGCCACCTGCTGCTGGACTGCGCCACCTTCCCTGTCTACCTGTCTGAGGAGGAGATGGAGCTGCTCTGCCAGACGCTCTTCCAGCCTCCTGGTGAGAGGGTGGCCCTGCGTCAAGTCCATTTGGGGGATAATATCACTACTTGTTTGCTGCCTTAGAGTCAGCCCCAACTCATGGCGACCCCATGTACAACATATTAAACACATCAGACCATGTGACCCATAAGTTTTAACCATTGGCTGATTTTCAGAAGCAGAGCACCAGGTCTTTCTATTTAATATTCCTTACATGCGTGATATTTACAGACCAGCTACAGTTACATTTCCCAACAAGAGACTTTTTGCCACATTCATATCCCTCCCTATTTTATAATTAGTTGTGTAGGGTTTTCACTCATGTCTTATTGGATTGCCAGTTGTTAAGGGCTGGGATGGTAGTTTTACATCTTTGGTGACTGGCACAGCCCATCATAATACCCGGAATGTGAAAGGTGCATAACAATAGTTAATAAATAGTATTGCATGAAAACTGTGGCTAAAGGTTTGTATAAACCAGTGACCACTTCAGAGAAAAAAAGGGAGAAAGGGAAAGAGGAAAACAGGAATGACTGATTTGATTGGTGGTAACTTTGGGCACAGTTCCACTCTTGTAGTCATTTCTGTAAATTTCATGTGGAATTTGGCTCTTAGTTCTCATCAGCTGTAAACGACAGTGTTTGCAAGAACATGTGGAGCTGATACATTCAGAGCATTTTTAGCCTCTTTTAAAGCTAACCAAGGAGTCCTGCTGTGGCGCTGTGGGTTAATGCACCAGATTGCAAAGCTGTTTGAACTGCAAGGTTGGTGATTCAAGCTCACCAGCTGCTCCTTGGAAACCCTGTACAGGGTCGCTATTGGTCGGAACCAACTCTATGGCACATAACAACAACAACAAAGCTAACCTGGTGTGGCGCTGTGGGTTAATGCGCTGGACTGTAAGGTTAGTTTGAACCGCAGACAGCAACATAGCACTCTCTACTCAGCTGAGCCTTGCAGAACTCAGATCCCATACTTCCAGTTATGGGACTTATTAAGGAAGTTAACTGGTTACAGTGTAGGATTAGACATGCTCAGGCTACAGTTCTTTCAGTCAGGCCCACCCCCCAGCCCCCCTCTCTCATAAATGCTCACAGGGCACACAATTCAAGTGTCAGCTCTAGCTCTGTGGACCAGCAAACCCAGCTCCCCCATCTAAGTGCCTGGAGGCACTCGACTCTAAGCAAGCCTCCTGCCCTCTACTTTTATTTGCTCCATGGGCTGACAGGTCTGCTGCTCTGTGCTCTGGTTCTTGGTTCTGCTGCTGCTGTTCTTCTGCCACCCCACCAGTATCACAGAGTCTGTCTCTAGATTGAGGAGGTTCAATGCACAGGGATCTTGGGGTCCAAAGTACGTGTTCTACTTCTGGCTCTTTTTTGATGGTAGTATGTTTCTCCTCTCCTGCTTCTGAGATGGTTCATATTAAGCCCACATTAGAATACCAAGTTTTTACAATCCCAATGCACTGTTAGCAAACACAACTGAATGATATCATCCTGTCAGCCTCTTTCCTCCACCTTCTCTTACCCAGACCCATCAGAGAAAAGTGGAAAATACAAAGACTGCGGGTAGAAGAGCCGTATGAAATAACTCACTGCTCTGCAGGATGGCCCGGGACTGGGCAGTTCTTCATACCATTGTACACAGGATCACCATAGGACAGGGGCCAACTCAGTGACAACTAACAAAACAGCAAGGCTAATGGCATGTCCCCTATAGTTAGGAAAAAAAAAAAAAAAAAATTGAACTCTTATCCCCCAAAGATGTGAATTTTAACGTATGTTAATATTAAATGATTAAAGCAAACATGGTGGTTGGTGGTTATGTGCCGTGGAGTCAGTTCTAATTCATAGTGACCCTGTACAGTGTTTCCAAGGCTGTAAATCTTTACAGGAGCAGACAGCCTCATCTTTCTCCCATGGAACAGCTGGTAGTTTCAAACTGCTGACCTTGCAGCTTGCAGCCCGATTCGTAACCACTATGCTACCAGAGCTCCTTAAAGCAAACATAGTAAACAAAAATATTTAAAATAATTTAAAGGCTCTTAGACTGAGGTTTGGAATTCAGAATATGGTGGCTTTTTATCCTCTGTCTTAGCAGTACCACCACCAGGAGTGAGCTCACTACTGGTAGCGACCTTGGGCTCAGGGGTGACCACTGATGCTGAAAGACGGAGCACAGGGGATTGCTCACACGTGGTCCAGTTTGTCTCATGTGTTATTCCTCTGGCTGGTTTCCTTCCAGGAGAATGTGACTCCAGTTTTCCATCTTGGCTGAGATCCCTTATGACCATTGGCTGCTGCGTGACCGACTGTTACCTACAAAATGTGGCCATCTCCACACTGCTGGAGGTGATCAACCATTCGCAGTCCCTAGCGCTCGTCATTCAGGACAAGATGAAGCGCTATAACAGCTCTGGACACAACCCATTTTTTGGCAAGCTGCAGATGGTCACAGTTCCTCCGATCGCTCCTGGGATATTGAAAGTCATCTCAGAGAAAACAGATTTCTACCAGGTATTTCCCCAGGTCTTCCTTCCCCAGACCAGTTATTGTCTCCCTGAGGTGGCAGCTGCTGACAGTGATAAGTAATATTGAGATTTGTTCAGAGGAAGACCTGGAGATGCAGTGGGTTAAGCATTGGGCTGATAATCACAAGGGCAGCAGTTTAAGCTCAATAGTGGCTCTGCCCAAGAAAAATGAGAGAAAAGGTTTACAGCCCTGGAAACCCAATGGAGCAGGTCTGCTCTGTCCCACAGGGTTGCTGTGAGTCGGAATCAATTCACCAGTGGCAATCAGAACCCTGTGTCCCAGGCTTTTGCATGGCAGTGAGCACTCAATATATAATTGTGATGTGTTTTAGACTGACCAGACTTCACATGTGAGGATTTAAAATTTTTCAAAAATAGATGGTAAAAAGAGTGTGTGCCCTTGTTTGTAAGATTAAAGGTTCTGAGGTGAATTAGCCTCAGCAAAGAAGCAAAAGGAGAACTCAGTGCTTGTCAAGCTTGAGAACTCATGTTTGAGAACGGCTGTTGGTAAGCTGTCATTCCTTAGGAAGAAAGTTTGCAAATAGTTCTAAGTTATACATTGTAAATTTCATTTGATTGCAAGAAGCTGAAAGCTAGTCCAGCTAGCTCATAAAAAGATTGAAGTTCAAGATGAAGTTGGAGAAAAACTAAATCAAATCCATTGCTGTCAAATTGGTCCCTGACTCATGACAACCCCATGTGTGCAGAGTAGAACTGCTCCATAGGGTTTTCTTGGCTGTGATCTTTATGGAAGCAGATTGCCAGGCCTTTCTTCCACAGCACTTCCAGGTGGACAGTGCCCATGCAAATCAAAGGACAGGAGTGGAATACAGCTGACTATCCCAGCATCCACACTGGGAACATGTTAGACCCTGGTGCTGCCCTCTCTGCCTGAACTTAACTTACACAACATATCTGTGTACTACCAACTACGGTTCACATTGTACTACCAACTTTGGGTTGCCACCTTGGTCGTAAGTCTGCCTTATGACTCTTCTGCCTCTTTGTTAATAATTCTGAACTAATGAGTCTAGGCTATTAAACAGCTTGTGGCTGAGGCACTCTCTGGTCAGGTGTCTTCTGCTTGTCCAGTCTGCTGTAACATAGATGGGTTCCAAGGGGACAGGAGATCATGTGGTATAGAGAGGGACATGCCCATCAACGGAGGCTGGATGGAATGAATTTCCACTGCAGGGGGTAAGGTGACAGACACCCTGAGACACCAAGGAGTTTCTGTGTGTGCATGTGTGTGTGTGTGAATGTGATATTGCTGTGGTTTGCTTGTCTGTTTGTTGAGTGACTTGACTAGGTGATTTTAGTGCAGTGTGTTTCCCAGAAGCCACTGGCACTCCTGGGAGAGTGTAGCCTTAGATGTGCGGTGCACCCTGGGCTGACGGTGGTTTTAAACAAGGCTCTCTGTCTCTTTCCTGATAGTGATTCTCTGTTGTGTTCAACAGTGTTGTTGTTGTTGTTTTAAGGTTTTTATTGTGGATTGAGTGAAAGTTTACAGGGCAAATCATCAGATCATACACCGTGTTTCATTACAATGATTATAATCCCTTCCATGTACCATCAGTTAACAGTATTTCTCTATATTCACTCTAGCTTTTTTTCAACAGTGTTTTGAGGTGAATCATTCCACACTAGTCCAGGTTGCACAGTGGGTTAAGCACTGGGCTGTATAGCCATTAAGTCAGTGGTTCAACCTATAAGCCACTCTGCTCCCCAGGAGAAAGATGAGGCTATCTGCTCCCATAAAGACTTACAGTCTCAGAAACCCTAAGTAAGAAGCTGTTCTGTTCCATCCTGTAGGGTCGCTTTGAGTTAGAATCGACTTGATGGCAATCGGCAGTGGGCTTTGCAATGGTAGTATTTGAGGCTAATCTTTGAGAGTTGTTCTGGCCCAGAAGAACTCTCCTTAGTTGTCTCTTTCCCTACTTCTCCCTGGTAAACTTAATAGTCTAAAGGTTAGCTTGTTGCTTCCAAGGAGCTTCCAGCTTCCTCTTGCTGGCTTACCACCTACATCTCCCGTGTTTGCCCCTGTGCTCTTAGATTTGAACTTCTCATTCTCTGTTCCAAAGAAAGTCATTTCCCCCAGGGAGAGCTACAGAACTCTCTGTTTTATGGCCTGGGCCTCTGCTCTGGAGCTGGGGATGGTGGTCCATTTTTCTTAGAGTGACACCTTTCAGGCTGCTAGGCAGCCCTGAGTATTTTGGTATAGAGCCTCTGCCCAAGAGTAGGGTCTGGGTGGAAGGTGGACGTCTTCTTGATCACACTTTCCAAGAATTGAACTTCTAAACACAGAGCAGGGAGAGCAGAGGGAATGAGATATGCTGGTGCCCGCCCTCTTGGGGAGATACAGAAGCCAGGGGAAGAGGGAACCCTATCTTGGTCACACCCACCTAGAGTTTCTGTCAAGCTGAGTTGGGGGTGGTGAAGGAAACATAATAGTTCATGGGCCAAGTGCTGCAGACTCTCCCTGTTCTTACCAAGATAGAGACAGTTGTCTTTAATCAATGTTTCTTCATCTGCTGTGTGTTTGGAGTATGGTTCCAACTCATAGCGACCCTGTATAGGGTTTCCGAGAGTGGCTGGTGGGTTTGAACTCCAGTGCTTATACACAGCACCACACCAGGGCTCAGTCTAGGTCTAGGACTTTGTTTAGTGTTAAGGTTATGGTTAGGACTAGGATTAGTGTTGGAATCCTGGTGTGGCACTGGACTGCGAGGTTGAATTTGTGGTTCAAACTCACCAGCTGTTCCTCAGAAACCCTTTATAGGTTCGCTATGAGTCAGAACCAACTAGACAGCAGTTAACAACAACAACAGGGTTAGTGTTAGGGGTAGGAGTTGAGCTAGGGCTGGGAGTAAGGCTTGGTCTAGTTTTAGGGTCACAGCTAAGTTTGTTTGTTTGTTTTTCTTGAAATCTACCTGATTTCCTCTTCATCTGGAAGTTTTATAACTACATTATTTCCTCTTTTTACTTTACAAGGGTATTTTTTTTTATTGCAAACTGGTATCTCTTTTTCCATATTTTCAGTATTGAAAACTTCTGTATCAGGTTTCAGTGCTGGGTGATATTGTCATGTGTGTGTTTGTCTCAGGTTGTTGTCTGCTGTTGCTGGTTCTCGGTCCAATGAATTCTCTTTAGTATTTTTTGTAAGCTTGGCCTGGTCATTACAAATTATTTTAATTTCTGTTTACCTGGAAATGGCCTCATTTCACTGTCGTATTTGATAGACAATTGTGCTGGGTATAAGATTCTTGATTTGAGGTTTAAGGTGCACCTGACCCAAGCCATGTTATTTTCATTTATCTCATATGCATGTGAAAGTTGGACAGTGAATAAGATCGTAGAAGAATCCATGCATTTGCATTATGTTTTATACATTCAAATTTCTTCTTGCCTACATGGTTTCTGCTGAGAAATCAGAACTTAGTCTTATTAGTTCCCCTTTGTATTTAATGTTTCACCTTTTTTTCCCTGATCTGCTCTCAGGATTCTTTACTTGTCTTTGGTTTTGAAAACTTTGATTATAATATGTCTTGGTGATTTTCTTTTAGGGTCTATCTGTTTGGAGTTCACTCAGCTTCCTGAATGCATATCTTCTCATCTTTCTTGATGTTAGGGAAGTTTTTGTCCAACAACTCTTGGACAATTTTCTCTATGTTGCTTTTTTGTGTTTTTTAACTCTCCCTGTTCTAGAATTCCAGTCACATTTAATAATTGTTGATATTGTCCCACATAAATTTCAGGCTGTCCTTGGGTTTTTCTGGTTGTTCCTCTAGCACATCAATATTGAGAGAGATTTTTAGTCCAACTCACTAATTTGGCCTTCTATTGATTCAATTCTACTTCATTGCTCTTTTAATGCATTATCGATTTCTGAAGTTTTAGCATTTATCTTCTGGCTTTCTAATTGCTGTTTTTGTATTGTCTCCAATTTTTCCATTTATTTTGTCAGTTTGTTCTTGAAGTGTTTTCCTGAATTCTTCTCAAGTTTTATTTGTTTTCCTTGATTTCATCTGCAGTTTTCTCAGTCATTCTCTCAACCCACTGAAAGTACCTAAATATCCTTATTTTAAATTCCTTATCCATTAGTTCCAGTACATTTCCAGTATGATATTTTCTAACTCTGTTTTAATCACTTGTTTGAGGCACTCTGTCAAGTCTTTTGTGTAAGCTGAAATTTTTGTCTCCGAGACATTCTGGTGTCATTGTATTTATATATTTATATTTCATGGGTGATTGTTATATTGGTATGTTCTTAGGTACTCACCACCTGCCTAAGGGTGTGATAAGAGATGGGAAGTGTGGATGCAGTTCTCTGTTTGCTGTTTGTATCACGTAGTTCAGGGTGGGTTCACACACCTCCAGATGACTGGGTCTGGTATGTCTGCTGCCCAACCCCAGGCAGAGCAGAGGCTGCTCAGGAGGAGGTACCACAGGCCGCTGGGCTGGCACAGGGAACAAGGGAAAATCACAGCCCCCTTGCTGGCAACCTCTAGGCCGCTGTATCAACAGCTACCTGCAAAAGCTCACGATTTCCATGCCGCTCCAGGCCAGGTGACTGCCCACCTGTGTTTCTTCTTTCCCTGCTCCTATTCTGTTACCTCTTTTTTTTTTTTTTTTTTTAATGTTTTATTGTGAATTATGTGATAGCTTCTGCTACCTCTTTCAGTCAGTACTCAATCCACCTTTCTGTCCTATCCTCTAAAGTCAGGGTTCCAGGATCACCATCTGTATCTGTTGCACTTGGTCTCCCATGTCTTTATTGCAGAGGATCTGCTCAGCATGTCTGCCTACACTGCATTTTGCCTTAAAAGTCAGTTCCAGAGACTAAATGATTGGGTTTTGTCACACGGGGAAAAAAACACTCAGACCATGCATGAAAGTTCAGAAGATTTACATGACCTTAGAGAGACATTCCAGTGGGAATCCACCAGCTCTCCTAAGTTGAAAACATGGCAATTTCAGAGTGAGTCCATAGCAGGCATGGATATAAGGCAATAAACCCAAGACGTTACTGTCAGGGACCTGCCTCGACATAGGTGTTTGGTTCACGAGGTGGGGATAAGGTGGGGATATCTGGCGGCGATAAAGATATAGAAAGACACACAAGGACACAAAGAGACACTATGAAACCAGAGTGGATGTGGTACTGGCATCTGGCAGATCCCGCATTGCAAACATCTCAGCCATGAAGGCCATAATATCCTGCATAGTAAACATCTTGGCTAAACAGGCAGTATGGTTGCAATGCTGGACTGAGCCCCCAGCATGCTGTAACGCACTCCTTGCCAGTCGTAATGCACCTGGATTCGTTCTGCACCTCCATTTAGGGGAGGAGACTTACACCAAGCTGGGAAGGACTAAGACAAGGTACAGCTAACATATGTAATTTTCCAGACATTCAGGCAACTTTACATCGTAATTCGCAGGGTCGAATCCCAGGCCCGCAACTTGGTTTCTCAGGCTCAACTAACATATCTATAGCACCTGAGCTCAGTTGGGGGAAGGTGAGAAGGAAGGTCAAAAGGCTTGGGAGGAGTCCCGCTGTGTTGGCTTCCTGGCCCAGGTTCCTCAGGAACCTGGCTGAATAGCCTGCACCTGAGATTTAGGGAGGGAGACCTTTTGTCCTTTGAACAAAGATCCGGGAAGTAGCCAAACTATTTTTAGTTAATCCTTTGGAGAAAAGCTTTACCTTTGAAACCTTTTACAGTCTCGGCTTTTAGGAAAATATTACATTTATCTGTGGGTATCAGGGCTTCATGTATGCAATTAATAATAAACATAACTGAATACTAAGATGAAAAACAGTTTGCTATGTCTGCTAGGTGGCTAGAGTCTGTTCCTCAGAGCCTGTGGCCTGTACAGTCTGCAACACTTGGGCCCACAGGACCTCGAACATCTGACCGGGTCTGGATGGTCTGCAACAACGTTACAATAAAATCATTGATTGATTAGTTTTTTATTGAGGCCACAAAGGGAGAATTAAAGAAGCAGGGAAAGGCTTCTGTTGGATGAAAATGCTTAGATATGTTTTGGTGACCTCAAAGATTTATTGTCATAGTCACATATCTTTCAGGTGGGATTATAGAACATGACTGGCTGATATTTAATCACCTTTAACTCTATATTTGCAATAACCATTTTCGTACCAGGAACTCATTTCCCAGAAAGTTTTGTTGAGACAAAACTAGGAAATGATAGTTAAGGTTAGCTCCAAGACTCTTTCACCCAATTCTCTTTATTAGCTCCTTGTCATAAGGAAATATTTCTTAGACCTACTTTGTATAAAAAGATAACTGTGTCCAGATTTCTATTTCATTCACACCCTGGTTTGGTGACCAAGAGAAAGCACTCCCTTTATTACCACGTGCTTATGAAAGGTTTGAGTTGACTTTGACTTTGTGGGAGGCAGTGAGGCAAACATGGAATCCTGGCAGGCATGTAAAAACACTGACTTAATTCAGCAAACACTAACTTTCATTCAGATGTTTAGTTCTGGTCACAAAGGCTTCATGAACTTCTCCTTTATAGTTTTTTTAATGGTTTACACCAGTTGTGGGTGTTCACTGAGGGAGGCTCTGACCCTTAATATATTTGGTTGTCAGCAGTAAGTGTTAAACCATGTGGAACCATGTTCAGTTGCTCTCCACTCCCTCCATCGCACCCCAGACTCTCCTTCCTCTTTCTACCAAAGTTGGCTCAGACAGTAGATCTTGAATCTCTAGCTTCTGAAACCAGAAGTAGCTCCACAGTAATGAATGATTGGGCAACTTTTTCCTTGGTCTTCTGTTGATCAGAAAGTTTAGCATAATTGCATTGTAGGCACAGAGAGGCAAAGAAAGAAGCAATAATTTCCACAAACATTTGACAGAAGAATATTGTCGATGTTGTTAGTTGCTGTCAGGATATTTCTAATTCATGGCGATCCCATACGTGCAGTCTAGAACTGTGATCCGTAGTGTTCTCAAGGCTGTGACCTTTTGGAAGCAGATCTCGGGCCTGACTTATAAGGTGCCTCTGGATGGGTTTCATCTGTCAACCTTCTGGACAGTAGTTGGACACTTAACTGTTTATGCCACCCAAGGACCCCTTCAAAGAATAATACAAGAATAAAGGTAACAACATCAACTGCTTTCTCCCTGTTTCAGTGATGTGGTCTAGACTTTTCAATTCCTTTCTTCAGCCTTCGTTGTTATTTTCATTCAGATTTCATAAAGACTTTGCATGGTCCTACCTTTGTATGTATTATACTATACTTAGCACGGGGCCAGCATGGCTGGGCTTGCCCACACTGCCAACATAGAAACTAGAGAAGGTGAAGCTATCGACCCAAATAGCAAGGGTGTGGCCCAGGGAAGAACTATTTTCAGATGTCTACCTAGGCAGCCGGAGTCCTGGTGTGGTGCTATGGGTTAATGTGCCAGACTGCAAAGCCATTTGAACTGCAAGGTCAGTGGTTCAAGCTCACCAGCTGCTCCTCAGAAGCCATATACAGGGTTGCTTTGTATCGGAACTGACTCAGTGACACTTCAGAACAACAACAACAGCCACGTAGGCATCCAGAGTACTGAAGTGGTGCTGTAGCATAAGCACTGGACCACAGGGTTGGTTTGAACTGCAAAATCATCAGTTCAAACTCACCAGCCACTCCTCAGAAATCCCATATGGGGTCACTATCAGTTGGAAGTGGCTCGACAGCACTTAACAACATCACCACCTGGGCAGCTAGCCTTTTTTTCATTCCCACAGAGCAACTCACATATCAGTGTCATAGAGATAAAAGATCATTAGAAGTTATGTTGGGCTGAGAGGAATACGAGTGCAGAGTTATGCTTAAGGGGTATGGAGTTTCTGTTTGGAGTAATGAGAAAGTTTTAGAAACAGATGTTGGTAATACTTATATAACGTGGTCTTTATAATTAATGCCAGTGAATTGTACACTTAAAAATGGTTAAAATGACAACCAAGCTGTTAAATGGATAAACCAGTTGCAATAATTATATGTAGGTAATGAATGTCTGACTTAACATGTACCATTTAGTTATGAACCAACCCCTGTAAAGCCGTAAAAACTGTAGTTTCATATGATGGTTTGTAATAACAAATGGACCTGATATACATCAAAACATGATGATGATTGCAACTATATTATGTTAAAGATGTTTTACTATACCTGGAAGTGTTTAATTATTTTATGCTGAGAAAGGTACACTGTATACTGAGACAAGAATTTGGCTGACATTAGATATGAACCATACTTAACTGCTCTGACTTACATACAAATTCCAATGAAAGACTTAGTTAGGACTGGACCTCGTTCATAACTCAGGGACTCGCCTGTATAATACAATTTAAAAACAGGAAAACGTTTAAAATGGACAATCATTGTAATATGTATTTTGACATGACAAAATTTTAAAGAAAACAACAACAAAAAAGTGGACTGTTTCCAGATACAGGTGACGGGGTTTATGGCTTGTCTCTGGTGTTCCTCATATTGAGAACCCTCACACAGCAAGTCCCGGTGAGAGCTTGTAGACGAAGGGTCAGGGCTGGGGTCATGTGATGGGGAATGTGGTGGTCGTGGCTCTGGCTGACCTGCTCTCCCACCTGCTTTCTTCCTGCCCCAGAGGGTGGCCCGTGTGCTTTGGGGTCAGCTGAATAAGGAGACCCGGGAACACCACATCACCTGCGTTGAGCTCTTCTACCGCCTGCATTGCTTGGCTCCAACAGCAAATATCTGCGAGGACATCATCTGTCATACCCTCCTGGACCCTGACAAGGTGAGTGGTAGCAGCTGGTCGGTCACTTTCCATGCCAATGGCCAACTCTGGACATGCTTCTCGTGGTCGGTGTATCCCAGTTATCGACCAGAGCTTGCCACAGGCTTTCAGCACTGAAAGGCATCTGGAATGTGAACCCATCCCCTTAACGTCTGAAAAATGAAGTGGTGTCCATAGGAAGACTCACTAGGAAACCTGCCCCAGCCCTAGGATATTTCCCATGATCGCCTACAGGCCTTATTAGGCTATTGGCAAACTAGAAGATGGTTAACATACTTGGCTGTTGACTGAAAGGGTGGAGGTCCAGGTCCACCCAGAGACCCCTTAGAAGAAAGGTCTTGTAATCCACTTCTAAAAGATAACCACTGGAAACAGAGTGCAGTTCTGTTCTGACACACATGAGTGACCATGGATCAGAATTGACTTCAGGGCAGCTGGTGTGTGGAGAATTGTCTTTTAAGCCTGGCTCTCTTTTGCTGGTCAGATGTGTGTCCAGCTCTTGAAGACTTGGAGACTGGCCCTTCCAAGGGCATGAACGCTGTGGTTCTTGGTGTCTTTCTAGACCGCAGAGAAGGCAGGTTGCCCCAGACACTTTACTCAAAGCACATGTTGTTAACCTGAGCACAAAAGGAGAGGGGCTACGGGTTTTCCTCTGCCTCCTGGCCATGACAGACAGACACCACGCACAAGTGAAAACACAGCATGTTTGCCGTGGCTTCTGCTGAGACCCTCTGTTTGTTATTTAGGTGGGGTTTGTTCTGATGTAGGTACAGCGTTCACTCTCATTTATTTTCCAATCAAGGGGACACGGTTGGAAGCACTCTTTCGATTTTCCGTGATATGGCACCTGACCAGAGAGATCCAGGGCAGTCGAGTCACCTCTCACAATCGCTCCTTCGACAGGTGAGCTGCTTGGCACTATCATTTATCCTGAATGTGGAGATGACTTTGCAGGGTTCTGGGGGTCAGTGTGCTGGGCTGCAGGTGGAGCGGAGAGAAAGGTGTGTCATTAAGGACATGGCCCATTTCCGTGCTACATACCAGGACCCCCTACATGACTCAGACACTTGTGAACCAACCACATGTGAGAGTTTTTCTTCATTAGCCTGGGGAGAGAGGAGCCAGGCCTGCAGTCCAATACGGAACGCCCCCCATGAAGAAACTTTGTGCTGACATGGAATGTTCTGGGCCTTGACTGGAATGGTGTTATAGACTCGTTTCAGATTACACAATGCCTGCTTACAGGGTGTTGATTGTGTTGCAGATACAGGGGCCTCCAAGTTGTTTTTATATTTTTAACTTTTTACTGTGAATTGGGTGAACATTTACAGAGCAAATCAGTTTTCCACTCAACAATCCATACCCATTTTCTTTTATCACATTGAGTGCAGTCCCCTTGGTGTAACATCACTCATCCCACTTCCTCCCTGTGTTTTTTCCTGTTTCCAATTCTTCTTCTTTCCTAACCCTTCTGAACTCTGTCCTTGGGTAAATGCTGCTCTCTTGGTTTTATAAGTCGTTTTTAAACCAGGTCCTGTCCCATCTCTGAAACATGCGGTCTTAGGTGTCCAACTGGTTCTGATGCCTGGACCCCACCCCTGAGTCAGATTTAGCTGGTTTGGGCTGAGGCCTAGCCATCAGGATCTTAAGAGCTTCCTGGTGACTTGAGCATGACACACCTACTTTGTGGGGAGTCCCCATCGAGGGCTGCCCACCTTATTCGGTGCCACATGCCCAGCACAGTTACAGATGAGTGTCTGGGCTGATGGAGTGACGTGGCTGTGCGGTCCTCACCCACAGGTCCTTGTTTGTCGTGCTGGACAGCCTGGCCTGCTCAGATGGTGCCATTGGTGCAGCAGCCCAGGGCTGGCTGGTGCGGGCACTCTCCCTTGGGGACGTGGCACGCATCCTGGAGCCCGTGCTCCTGCTCCTTCTCCAGCCCAAGACCCAGAGGACCTCCATCCACTGCCTCAAGCAGGATAACTCGACAGGTGAGCTCTCAGGCAGGCCTGAGTCAAATGGTGAACAGGGTTAGCCTCAGCTGTCCTGTGGTTACAGTTAGGGGAGATACAGCCACCTCGTGCTTCTCCTAGAGCCACAGAGGGTGAAAATGCAGCCACTTCTCATTATTCATAGTAGTTACGTTCTGGAAGAGGGAGCTTTGGGTGGTCCGTGGTTGGATGTCCTGGTGTGTCTCTGCAGAATAATGTGCTGGACTGCAAGGTCAGCTTGAACCACAAGGATGGGGGGCAGGCAGTTCAAACCCTCCAGCTGCTCCTCAGAAACCCTACACGGCGTCGTATCGTTCGGGACTGACTCAATGGCACTTAACAGCAACAACATGTGGGAGATGCAGGTTTGATTCCCAGCCTGAACACCCCATGTGCAGTCACCACCTGACTGTCAGTGGAAGTTTGCACAGTGTTGTGATGCTAGACAGGTTTCAGTGGAGCTTCCAGACTAAGATGGACTAGGAAGAAAAGTGGCGATCTTCTTCCAGCACCACGTGGCTGCTCCCTCTAACTGATGTTTTCCATGGACCCCAGAAATGTTCTGCCACTGCCAAATAAGAGAGAACTTCATTTCTCTGCTGTTTCATTTCCATGGAAGAGACTAGAAATGGACTGCTGACCTCTAATCCTGTAGAAACCGGTTTGTAAAAATCCCTCTGCAATTCAGGCAGCTTGTCTGTATCTAGTATCTTAATTCTTCCTCCTCCTTAATCTTAGTTAATGTTCAACAAATAGATTTGTTGAAAGCTGTGTGTTGAAAAAGTTTGGCAGTACCAAAGACTTCTGGCTTTTACTTCTTTTTAAAGAGAATTGAATATTTTAAAGTATTGTATGCGTTCTGATTACAGAAGTACTAACATGCTTATTTTTTTTTTACAAGTAGAAATAAAAAAGTTAAAAGCATAAGTAAAAGTCCCTTGTAATGCCAACTGAAAGAGCTAATTACTATTAATGGTTCAGCAAGTACTCTCCTAGAGTTTTTCTGCTTATGAAGCTGCATATTATAGATGTTGTTGTGGCCATTGTGTCAGCCCCTGACTCCTGGTGACCCCATTCATAACAGAACAAAATACTCTGAGGTCCTGAGCCATCGCCACGGGTTGTGGATTGTATGGTTGTAAACCATGGGTTTTCATTGGCTGTTTCAGAAGTAGATCCCCAGGCCTTTTGTCCTAGTCTGTCTGAGTCTGGAAGCTCCCCTGAAACCTGTTCATCATCGTAACAACACTCAGGCCTCCACTGACTGATGGGCAGTAGCTGTGCATATGGCGAATTGGCTAGGAACCGAACCTGGGTCTCCCACATGGAAGGCGAAACTTCTACCACTGTGCCACCTTTACCTTTATATTATATATAAAATGAGCTTATTCTTTGCATACTGTTCTACAACTTGATTTTGGTTCTTGTTTTTATTTTTCTTCATATAATATATCCTGCACAGCTCCATATCAGTACATCTTGTTGTTGTTGTTATTGTTAAAGTGCCATCAAGTCAGTTCTAATTCACAGCGACCCTGCACAGGGTTTTGAAGGTATAGCTGGTGGGTTTGAACTGCCGATCTGATCATGTGGTTTGAAGTCCATTGCTGATCCTACAGCGCCACACCAGGAGTCCTATCAGTACATTCAGATAATATATTTTTTAAACCCCGATATTGCTTGCATAAACCATGCTTTTTGCAGTCAATCTCTGACAGGATATTTCATTTGCTTTCCAGTTTATCTGGTTATACTATGTCTCTTGAATACTTTTCCCCTTATAACTTTGAAACCTGTTCTTATTTCTGAATGGTAAATTTCTTGAAAGAGAGCAACCTAGGCCAAAATAATAAGTAGTTTCCAAATTGCCTCCCATAAAGATTGTTCTGCAAAAATTTCATTTTTAAAATCAATCTTTCTTTCTGGCTTTAGGAAAAAGCTACTCCAAAATCCATATACTACTGCTAGCTCGGTTCTAAACTCTCTGGTCACTTTAATTTTCAGAAGACTTGCACCGTTGGTTCAACAGGAAGAAAACCTCCTTCAAGGAGGCTTGCGGAGCACCTGAGCTTCCAGGAGGCAGCTCTGAGGAAAACCTGCCTCTGAGTCAGTTCACTACCGTCGACCGAGAAGCCATGTGGGCAGAAGTGGAGAAGGAGCCAGAGAATTGCCCAGCCCACAGGGAGCTGAGTGAGGAGGACCTCCCCCGCTATGTGGACCTGCCGGACGGGCCTGAGAGCAGCGAGCACACTGAGTCTGCAGACACGAGCTCAGGGCATACGGACAGTGAGAACACCTCTTCCTTCTCATCTCCTTTCCGGGACCCGCGGGAGCTGAGCAGCGATGAGAACTGCTGTGCCCCCATCCCCTCAGTTGGCAGGGCTTACGCCAAACGCCCAGCTCTGCTAACTGCCTTCCAATTGGAAAACTTGAAGTCCAGTGCCAAGTTAAGCCTGGTGCGCATGGACTCAGACAAGACCCAGGCCTCAGAGTCGCTGTCCAGCGACGACGAGGCTGACCTAGAGCTGCAGGCGCTCAGCAAGTCCCGGCTGCTGAAGCAGCAGCGGGAGCGGCAGGAGACCCTGGAGGCCCTGTTCAAGCACATCCTGCTCTACCTGCAGCCCTATGACTCGCGGCGTGTCCTCTATGCCTTCTCAGTGCTGGAGGCTGTGCTCAAGACCAACCCCAAGGAGTTCATCGAGGCCGTGTCCAGGACCAGCATGGACACCAGCTCCACCGCGCACCTGAACCTCATCTCCAACCTCCTCGCGCGCCATCAGGAGGCCCTGGTGGGCCAGAGTTTCTATGGGAAACTGCAGACCCAGTCCCCCAACGTGTGCCCACACTCCCTGCTGATCGAGCTCCTCACCTACCTCTGCCTGAGCTTTTTACGCTCCTACTATCCATGCTATCTAAAGGTCTCCCACCGGGACATACTTGGCAACCGGGATGTGCAGGTCAAGAGCGTAGAGGTGCTCATCAGAGTGATGACACAGCTAGTCTCCATGGCCAAGTGTTCAGAAGGGAAGAACGTGGACTTCATCCACAACTTGCTGCAGAGGTGCAAAGTTCAGGAGTTTGTTCTGCTCTCCCTGTCTGCGTCCATGTACACAAGCCAGAAACGCTATGGCCTGGCCACCTCAGAACGCAGCAGGGCGCCGCAGGAGGAAAGCTTCTTTGAGGAGAACCTCATCAACTTGGGCCAGGACCAGATATGGAGCGAGCACCCACTGCAGATCGAGCTGCTCAAGCTCCTTCAGGTGCTGATTGTCTTAGAGCACCACCTGGGCCAGGCCCAGGAGGAGGCCGAGAGCCAGCCTGAGCTGTCCCGAGAGTGGCGGCGGGCCCTCAGCTTCCAGCAGGCCATCAGTGCCCTGCAGTATGTGCAGCCTCACCCCCTCACCTCCCAGGGCCTGCTGGTCTCAGCCGTGGTACGGGGTCTGCAGCCCGCCTACGGCTACGGCATGCACCCTGCCTGGGTCAGCTTGGTCACCCACTCTCTGCCCTACTTCGGGAAGTCCCTGGGCTGGACTGTGGCACCCTTCATAGTACAGATTTGCAAGAACTTGGATGAACTGGTCAAGCAGTACGAAAGCGAATCTGTGAAGCTGTCTGTCAGGTAAACTGTCCCCTTTGCTGATTCTGACTCACAGAGACGGCCCCATGTGTTACAGAGTAGAGCTGCCCCATAGAGTTCACTTAGCTGTAATCATTAGGGAAGCAACTACTCTCCTTCCGGTTGCCAGCCAGCACAAGCTGTGCCACCCAGGGGCCTATGTTGACCACTCTGGATGCAGCATTCTTTTTTCAATGATAAGTTTGTGTGTTGAAGAGATTCCAGTTAGAGGATCATTTCACTATAAGCAGAAACCTGTTTAGTGTTGTCAACCCTGTATTTTTTAATTCTATGCCACTGCCCAGGCTCATTCAATGTTGAAGGGCAAAGCACTCATGCTGCTTTATTTCTGCAAACCAAAAATAAAAATGTGAATCACTTTTGCAGAAATGCTGTAACATTTTCCCCAAAGTGACTATGTATGTAAAATAACCCCAGAGATACTTAAGTCTTATTAGAATGCTTCATCTTGAGAGCATCCATTCATTTCAGTGTTTTCTCCCTGGTTGTATGCCCATATATAAGGTGCAAAGCTGTCAGGACCTAGAGGTGGCGGTTGCACAGCCTGGTGACTGTGCAAGATACGAGTACACCTGATTGTTCACTTCAGAATGGCTAGTAGTTCATTCTGCGATAATGGAATTTTACCTCAATTTTTGTAAAAAGATCAAGAAAAGACAGCAACCTCATTCATAAAAATTCTAAAAGTCAGTTTCTTTTTTTTTTTTTTTTTTTTTTACCAAAGCATAACATCCAAGAGGGAAAACGTTTCCCCAGATTATCCGCTGACTCTTTTGGAAGGCCTAACAACCATTAGTCACTTTTGCCTTCTGGAACAACCCAACCAAAGCAAAAAGGTAATTTTATTTTCCTAGTTTCAAGGCAACTTCACTGTATTATGTAGTTACAACTTTTCAAGCTGGGGCCACTGCCATGTACTGGTAATGGGGGTTTCTTCTTGCTAGCACTCTGCTGGACCCCTTCAGCTCTTTGAAATGCTGATAAAACACAAAGTCCTTCATTTGGTTTTAGGCTTACTTTCCTCTCTTTTCCATGTTATTTGTTTTGATGGTGTTCCTGAAATCACTCTTAGACATTTCACCTGTTGTTTGCTCATCCCTGTTGTTGTTGTTAGGTGCCATCGAGTCAGCACCGACTTACAGTGACCTTCTGCACAGCAAAACAAAACACTGCCTGATCCTGGGCCAACCTCACTATTGTTGCCACACTTGAGCCCATTGATGTTGCCACTTTGTCAATCCATCTCGCTGGGGATCTTCCTCTATTTCTCTGACTCTCCCCCTTACCAAATATGATACCCTTCTCCAGTGACTGGTTGCTCCTGACAATATGTCCGAAGTATGTGAGACAAAGTTTGGCCATCCTGGCCTCCAAGGAGCACTCTGGCTGCACTTCTTCCAACACAGATCTGTTGGCCCTTTTGGCAGCCCATGGTACTTTTCAATATTCTCCTCCAACACCATAACTCAAAAGCATCAATTCGTCTACGGCCTTCCTTATTCACTGTCCAGCTTTCACATGCATATGAGGTTATTGAAAATACCATGGCTTCGGTCAGGCACACCTTAGTCCTCAAGCTGACATCTTTGCTCTTCAACACTTTAAAAAGGTCTTGTGCAGCAGATTTGCCCAATGCAATACGATGTTTGATTTCTTTCGTTTGATTTCTTGACTGTTGCTTCCGTTAAGTGTTGATAGTTGATCCAAGAAGAATGAAGTCCTTGACAACTTCAATCTTTTCTCCATTGGTAAGAATGTTGTTTATTGGTCCAGTGGTGAGGATTTTTGTTTTCTTTACATTAAGATGCAATCCATAGCGAAGGCTGTGCTCTTTGATCTTCATCAGTAAATATTTTAAGTGTTCTTCACTTTCAGCAAGCAAGGTTGTATCATCTGCATATCGCAGGTTGTTAATGAGTCCTCCTCCAATCCTGATGCCATGTTTTTCTTCATAGAACCCAGCTTTTCTGATTATTTAGTCAGCATACAGGTTGAATAAGTATGGTGAAAGAAGACAACCCTGTCGAACACCTTTCTTAATTTTAAAATATTCAGTGTTCCCATGTTCTGTTCGAACAACTGCCTCTTGGTCCATGTACAGATTCCTCATGAGCATAATTAAGTGTTCAAGAATACTCATACTTCACAATGTTGTCCATAGCTTGTCATGAGCCACACAATTGAAAGCCTTTGCGTAGTCAGTAAAGCACAGGTAAACACCTTTCTGATATTCTCTGCTTTCAGCCAAGATCCATTGGACATCAACAATGAAATACCCTCATTCTGCGGCCTCTTCTGAATCTGGCTTGAACCTCTGGAAGTTCTCTGTCAATGTATGCTTGTAGCCGTTTCTGTATTACTTTTAGTAAAATTGTACTCGCATAGGATATCAGAGATATTGTCCAATGATTTCTGGATTCTGTTGGGTCACCTCTTTTTGGAATGGGCACAAATATGGATCTTTTCCAATCAGTCGGCCAGATAGTTGTTTTCCAAAGTTCTTGGCATAGATGAATGAGTGCCTCCTGTGCCGTCTCACTTTCTGGAAAGATTTCTGTTTTTATTCCATCAATTCCTGGTGCCTTGTTGTTTGCCAGTTCCTTCAATGCTCCTTGGACTTCTTCGTTCAGTGTCATTGGCTCTTGATCAAATGCTACCCCTTGAAACGGTTGAACACCAACCATTTCCTTTTGGTACAGTGAGTTGTGTATTCCTTCCATTTTCTTTTGATGCTTTCTGCATCATTCAATCCCTAGCTGGGATTAAATTTATCTAATTTATAAAATATATCTAATGCTCTGTTTGTGTGATTGATTAAAAATGTTAATAATTTGGAGCCTCACACTCAACAGTTTCTAGATGTGTCTCTCTGAAAGAAAACTTCAGATTTAAATGCACAGGGAAGAGTATTTCTTCTAGAACCCCTTGTATATGGCGTGCTTCAAAGGAAGTTCAACTTCCCAGACAGGATTCCACTAACGCCAGCATCCTGACAGCATGGGAACCTATTCTGCAGATACAGGTGCATGTCATGAACTCATTTTCATTTTCTAGACCACCTCAGTCAGTGACCCCACCAACCTGAGAAATGCCAAGAACGCCATTCTGGAAGAGCTACCTCGGATTGTGAACACCATGGCACTTCTGTGGAATGTTCTCAGAAAAGAAGAGACTCAAAAGAGACCCGTCGATCTTCTCGGGGCCACCAAGGGGTCGTCTTCAGTTTACTTCAAAACCACCAAAGTAAGAGACCATCCTCTGGTTTAATTAATCCCTTTGTCTGGTGCTGTCTAAGGATGTAAACAATAACCAAGGAAACCGTGTTCACATGAGAAGGAAGCTGGAATAGGCATCTCTACTGTTTCTCTTGAATCAATTTTCTATGAAAAGAACATGGATTTGGGGGACCAGAGGGAAGACTGATGTGAGTTGATGTGTGCTCTTTCAAAAGAATGTGTTCATGCTTTGTTAGTGGTGGCAGTCTAGTTCTTATTCCCACCCCCTTGATTTATTTTATTTGTTGTTATTTACCTTCCTTGATTTATTTAGGGTTTAATAACTAAAAATTATTTTTATGAGGTTTGACAATGAGGATACTTAACTAATGTCCTTGTAATTACACAGCTGATCTTGGTGCTGGTAGTCTGGTTTTAATGGTGGCTTTGGAACATGAACACATCAGGGTGGGATACTGGGATAGCTTTGAGGTTTTTTTTAAAACCTGAAGAACAGAACCCAGTATGTGTGGGTTACTGTCCCTCAGTTTGAACCATATCAGCCTTGGGAAGCTCTGCAGCATGCAGGCTCGTGGCAGTATGTATGTCATGGTGTTGAGAGTTATCTAATGGGCAATGCTAGCATCTTAGATGGGGTTGCAGGACTTAAACACAGAGTCTGATAGCCCTAGCTGAACGCTGTGGCTCAGCTTCCTGTCGGCCTAGAGCAAGTTTGTTAACCTGTACCTGCAGCTGCAAACTTTGTTACCTAGAGTCACTGTGAGTCAAAATTGCCTCAAAGGCAATGACATCTGAGACCTAATCACTATAACTTCCCAACTGGAATTCCCCTGTGTTGTTGTTGTTACATGCCATGGAGTCCGATCCGACTCGAAGTGACCCTGTACAGGGTTTCTGTGGCTGTAAATCCTTGCGGGAGCAGAAAGCCTCATCTTTCTCCCGCACAACATCTATTAGTTTTGAACTGCTGACCCTGAGGTTAGTAGCCCAGTTCGTAACCACTTCCCTACCAGAGCTCCTTGGAATTCCCTTAACTGCCTTTAAAAAAACAAAAACAAAAAACCCTGTATTCACACTGCTTGCACAAGCTCCTTTTGGGATACTTCCTTTTTGCAAACAGCTGTGACTCAATGAACCCTCTTAACTCTGACTGGTTAATTGATGTTTTTATCTTTGGGGTAATGCATTTAAAATACACCCATATCGTGGTCCTAGACATTCCTTATTCATCTTCACTTAGTATATAGATGCTCCTCAGTTCTTGAAACCCTCTAGGCTCCTTCTTGTGTAAGCTTTGTGCACAGAGTAGAACTGCCCCATAGGTTTTTCTGGACTGTAATCTTTACAGCGGCTGATCACCAGGGTTCCAGGCACCAGCCTTTCAGATTGCAGCTGAGTGCCTCATTGTTATACCACCAGTACTCCTAATTGAAGGGAGGGTCCTACAGAGCCAGAGATCTTTCGTTCACTGGTGGGAATTGGTTGTGTCCAGTAATGGTGAGTCAGAAAGATCCTTCCATGCCAGGTTGCCTTTTTGCAGTCAGAACATTTTGAAAACTCCCTTTTTTCTGCCAAGGTTTGACATCTGGTATAAACAGCCATTGCTTTTTTTTTTTTTTTTTTCCCCCAGTTAATAGTTCACAGATTAAAGACTAAAATTCATTAGTGATTTTTTTGTTTTGTTTTGTTTTCTGAAAATGATAAATGGCTTCACTAATGAACACAAGCCCTTCTGTGGCTGTGAGATGTCCGGATGGAAAGCAGATGAACTCCGCTGCTCCTCCCACTTCCCCACAGCCCTCTGCAGTGGTGCCTGGCTTTCTTCAAGCCTTGTCCTGCTCAAAGCTGCCCAGGGACAGTGCTCCCCATCTGCCTCTACTCAGCACCACTGCCCTAGCTCTCCCCAGTCTGAGCCTCACTGCAGCATCCCACAGGGTCCAAGGAGGAGCAGACAGTCCCTATGCAGGAACACACTCAGAGAAGTCGGGAACACCAAGACAAGGCCATGCCTGCCCTAGGAGTTACAGTCAGTTCTGGCTCATAGCAACCCATTTGTTTCAGAGTAGACATGTGCACTAAGAGTGTTTTGGGGTGTGATCCTCATGGAAGCAGAGCATTAGATCATTCTTCCACAGCCCCACTGGGTGGGTTAAACCCACCAACTTTTAGGTTAGTTGTTAGTAACTGTCGAGTCAAGTCCAACCTATGCTTGACTACTAGCTGAAAGATTGGTGGTTCAGACCCATCCAGAGACATCTCAGAAGACAGGCCTGACACTCTGCCTCTGAAAGGCCACAGCCTTGAACACCCCATGGGACTGCTCTAACTCAGCTTACCTGGGGTTTCCATGAGTTGAGGTTAAGTACCGTGGAGTCCCTGCACAGGGTTTCTGATGCTGTAAATCTTTAGGGGAGCAGAAAGCCTCATCTTTCTCCCGCAGAATGGCTGGTAGTTTCGAACTGCCTACTGTAAAGTTAGCAGCCCAATTCGTAACCGCTACGCTAATAGTTGAGTGCAAAACAGTTGTGCTATCTAGGGTCCTGGAAGTACAGTTGTTGTTGTTATTAAGTGCCATGGAATCAGTTCTGACTCACTGCAATCTTGTATAGCAGGGGTGGGGAACGTCCGGCCTGCAGGCCATATAAAGCCCTGCCAAGGCAACCACAGTTCCAGCATACATGTGGTTGTTAAGGGCCATCAATAACTTTTTTTCTCTCTCTCAATTTTCTAGACTATAAGACAAAAAATTTTAGACTTCTTGAATCCCTTGGCAGCCCATCTTGGGGTTCAGCTGATAGCAGCTGTTGCAGCAGTATGGAGCCGGAAGAAAGTTAAACGCCACAGTAAAGTGAAGGTAAAGCTAGGAAATTAAAGCAGTAGTTATGCTTACTCTGACAAAGAAATCCCAAAGAGTCACATGTAATTGAAACTGATTTAAGAGGTTGACATGAGAGATATTGAATTGGTGGTGGTGGTGGTTATGGACCATAGAGTCTATTTCGACTCATAGTGACTGTAAATCTTTATGGTAGCAGAAAGCCTCATCTTTCTCCTGCAGAACAGCTGGTAGTTTTGAAGTGCTAACCTTGAGGTTCACAGTCCTACTTTTAACCACTGCGCTACCAGAGCTCCTGTTTTAAATGCAAGAGATGATAGCAGTGGGGGAGGTGGAGCGGGGGAATGGTGCTCACCTCTGACTTCTGTCTTCTAACTTTCCTACAAGAGTATGTGAGGCTGGCATTTAACCTTTCTGATAGCTAATACCATATTGTTGTTGTTAAGTGCCGTGGAGTAGTTGGTTCCAACCCTGAACAGGGTTTCCAAGGCTGTAAATCTTTACGGGAGCAGAAAGCCTCATCTTTCTCCCACAGAGCAGCTGGTAGTTTCGAACTGCTGACCTTGTGGTTCACAGCCCAATTCGTAACCACACTATCAGAGCTCCTTTAATACTATATATATATACATATATATATATACATATATATGTAAGTGTATAGGGCATGCATGTACATTTGAAAGAGCTAAAATATCAGCCATAGGGCAAAAGGCTAATTAGGTAGTAAGTCCCACCCAAGACTATGGCCTTCAGATCTGGAACTGAATTCACCACCCCACCTTACCCCCACTCAATTTTTAGCCAAACAATAGGCAGATAAAAGAGAACTAAGTATACACTAGGGAGGTACATAGCCCTTATTCTAATCAACCCTGTGAGATCAAAAGGGCAGCATTCACCCAAAGAGGAAGTTCTGGTTAGGAAAAGAGGAGGAACAGAAACTGGGAAGAAATGGGATGAGTGAGGATAGCAATCGATGAGCTGAAACAAAATATACATGAATGGTTGGATGTAAAACCGATCATCTATGTAAACCTTCGCCCAACTCACAATAAAAAGTGAAAAAACACAAAAGAATCTAGTAGACACACTCATGGATTGGATATGGGAGGAAAAGAAGCATTTTGTCTAAATGTCTGTCTCCACCTGTAAACCATGAGCCCCTGGAGAACAGATGTTGGATCGGATTCATTTTGCAGTTTTACCAGTACCAGTAGCCATCCAGTTGATTCAGAATTGGATGGGCCTCTGTATGTCAGAGTAGAACTGTGCTCCATAGGCTTGTCAGTGACTGGATTTTCAGCCATTGAAAATAGATGAGTAGACCTTTTTCCAAGGTGCATCTGGATGGACTTGAATGTCCAGTATTTCAGTTAGCCACCAAGCATGTTAATCACGATCCAGGGGCTCCTCTGTATCTTTTATACCTTGCAAATAATAAAAAAAGGAGTATGTTTGATCAATAAATGCATGAACTTCAGAAGTGGGGCGATCCATCAGTGATACTGTTGTTGCCACTATCCATGCATCTTCCTCATCCTTCCAGTGGTCTTGTCCTATGAGACTGCTACATTCTCTGGTGCATCTCATGTCTCCTGCAATCAAGAGAATCATCTCAACTGCTGTCACCCTAAGAAACAAGCTGTCATGTGAAAAAGGAAGAAACAAAACCCACCTATGGACTCAAACCTGCTTCTCTGTCACACTATGCCGGGCCCTGTGTATCCGCCCCTCGCCCCTGCTTATAGTATCATTTGGTAGCTTTTTCCATTTGTAAAAACAATACTTGTCCATTATAGTACAATTGAATCATCATATTTTTATACCCATTGTTGTTGTTAAGTGCCGTTGAGTTGATTCTGACCCATAGCGACCCCTATATAGAATTTCCAAGGAGCAGCTGGTAAGCTTGAACTACTGACTTGCAGTTCAAATAACTTTGCAATCTGGCGCATTAGCACAAGGTGCCACACCAGGACTCCCTTATACCCATAGCTTGCATCAAATTGCCTTTTATCCATTTGGGATTAACATATTTCTATAAGCTTATGAGCAAAACAGACTGGATGGTACTTAACAACTAGATTTATTTTCCTGTTCCTCTCTTGTGACTCTATCCCCATTCCCACCTCATCCCTCCATCCCTCCAAGAGGTCTTTACCACCTCTGCAACACTCCCCAGAGCCTCCTGTCTCAGTGCCCAACACAAGCTTCTGTTACCTGAGGAAAGATGAGGGGTTGGTCCCCAGGCCACCCTGGAGCACACCCTGGGAAGCCCTTTCTTGGTGATAAACTATTACCAGCTGGTTTTCTTCCAAGTGTGGTTCTAGTCACATCATAGAAAATTCTAGAATCAGCAGTGTGCTTCCCATGCTGAGGCTTTCCTGCCCAGACCAAGATATGTTAGCCTAGCTTCTCTCTCTCTTTTTTTTTTTTTTTTGTTTGCTGTTCTAGTACTTTGGGATTCATCTCTTGATGCCAACCTGTTTCCTTCAAGCCAAGCATATCTAGCTCTAAACATACTTCCTAAACTCAAATATGCAAACTGTCACACAGATTGAATTGTACCCCACCCCCAAAACTATGTGTCAGCTTGGGTGAGCCATGATTCTAGAGGTTTGGCAGTTATGTAATGATAAGATCATCCTCCCCGGGACGTGATCTGATGTGATCAGTCAATCAGTTGTGAGGGAGTTAAGGTGTAATCCCATTACTGAGGTCATGGTCCTGACCCTGTGTTAGGGGAGTTTCACTGGGGTGTGGCCTACGTCACCTTTTGTTGTGCTAGAAGTAAAAGGAGAGACAAGGGCCTGATTACCACCAGGAAAGAAGAACTAAAAATGTCCTTTGGTCTCAGAGTCCCTGTGCTCTTAGAAACTCCTAGACCTAGGGAAGGATTGTTGCCAAGACACGTAGGTCTCCACAGGATGCCGCATCCACAGGTGGTGAAAGGAGGCGAGGACTTTTCAGAGTCAACAGAGAAAGAAAGCCTCCCCCTAGAATTAATGCTCTGAATTTGGATTGTGGAGAATTCATTTGTTGGTTAAAGCCATCCAGTTGTGGTATTTCTGTTGTAACAGCATTCAGTAACTAAGAACACCTCGTCAACTATGCCTTTTAGCCCTAATTTGTATCAGATATGGTCTTAGGCTCAGCTCTTAAGCAAAGCAAAACTAGGGAAACTCGTTGATGTCAGTTGCTGTAGAGTCAGCTCTGACTCATAGCTGTCCTATGCTCATACAGAACGAACACTGCCCGGTCCTGCGCCATCCTCACACTTGTTATGTTTGAGCCCATTGTTGCAGCCGTTATTGTCAGTCCCATCTCATTGGGGGTAGGGGAGCTTCCTCTTTGTCACTGACCATCTGCTTTGCCAACCATTATGTCCTTCCAGGCACCAGTCCCTCTTGATAACATGTCCAAAGTACTTGAGAGGAAGTCTCACCATCCTGGCCTCCAAGGAGCACTCTGGCTGCACTTCTTTCAACACAGATCTGTTTGTTCTTTTGTCAGCCCATGGCACTTTCAGTATTCTTCTCCAACACCATAACTCAAAAGCATCAATTCTTCTGCGGTCTTCCTTATTCATTGTCCAACTGTCACAGGCATATGAGGTTACTGAAAATGCAATGGCTTGGGTCAGGTGCACCTTAGTCCTCAAAGTGGCATCTTAACTCTTTGGTACTTTAAAGAGGTCTTTTGCAGCAGATTTCCCCAATGCAATACATTGTTTGATTTCTTGACTGCTGCTTCCATGAACTTTGCATCCAAGTAAAATGAAATCCTTGACAACTTCATTCTTTCTTCCATTTATCATGATGTTGCTTTTTGGTCCAATTGTGAGGATTGTTGTTTTCATTACACTGAGTTGTAATCCATACTGTATTCTTTGATCGTCATCAACAAGTGCTTCAAGTCCTCTTCTCTTTCAGGAAACAAGGTTGTGTCATCTGCATATTGCAGGTTGTTAATGAAGCCCCTTCCAATCTTGATGCCACGTTCTTCTTCATCTAATCCAGTGTCTCAGATTATTTGCTCAGCATACAGATTGAACAAGTACGGTGAAGAGATACAACCCTGACATACACCTTTCCTGATTTTAAACCACACAGTGTCCCTTTGTCTGTTTCAGTGACTGCTTCCATCTGTGTACCGGTTCCACATGAGCACAATTAAATGCTCTGGAATTTCCATTCTTCACAATGTTATCCATAGTTTGTTATTATCCACACAATTGAATGCCTTTGCATAGTTAGTAAAACACAAGTAAATGCCTTTCTGATAGTCTCTACTTTCAGCCAAGATCCATCTGACATCAGCAATAACATATCCCTTGTTTCATGTCATCTTTTGAATCTGGCTTGAATATCCAACAGCCCTCAAGTTTTTGTAATGGGCAGTTGCAACATTTTTTGAATTAGGTATGTATATGTAGAAAGAGATTTATTTCAAGGAAATGGCTGACATGGTTGTAGAGGCTGGAAAATTCCAAGTCCCTGGGTCAGATGCGAGGTTGGAGGGTTCTCCTGACTCCTGTAGTGGCAGGGTCTGACAAACCTAAGGTCAGCAGGTCAGATGGCAGGCTTCTGGCTCAAAGGCCAAAGAACCAGAGGTCTTTGTTGATAAGCCAGATGCAACATCCAGACCCATCCAAACACAACTTAGCTTTGCCAGAACATCCATATATATTGGAAGCAGGCCACACACTTGAGGAAGGTCTCCTAGCAGATCTCATCTTGGAGGTGATTGCAGTATGGTTCTCATCATGGGAAATGACTACATAATTGTCAAACCACTGAGCATCAAGGTCCAGCCAAGTCATAGGTACATATTATGTCTATTAACATTAAATGCTTAACTAGCTCTGTGTTTTTACCAGGGGAATCCTTTACCCAATCCAATGGGAAATATTTATTGAAAAGATTGAAACAGATTTCTTTCATGAGGGACAACTGTGACAGAATGCTTTTTGTGTATCATTTCTATCTTTATTTTCTGTTTGCAAGTTTGAAATGTTATTTGTTTTTTCCCCTCTCAACAGATTGTCCCTGTGGCTAGTGCATCCCAGCTTCCCCTCGTTGACTTAGTTTGTGCCCTCAGCACCCTGAAGACTGACGTGGTGCTGCACTTGGTTAAGGAAGTGGTCAAGAAGCCACCGCAAATTAAAGGGGATGAGGTAACGGCCATGTGAAGCCAGCAGCTCTGGATTAGTGCATTTCCAGAAGAATGTCTGGCATTTTCCCAACTCTATTCTTACATGTTGTTGTGGGGAATTACCAGTGATAGGTATCAGGTAGCAATTACAGGAGTTCTTGGTGTTGTTAATGGAGAGTGTTGTTTGAATGTGCTCAGGAGGTCATGGGAAAAGTGCCCACCACGGTTTGATGCTCTTGTTTGAAGGTAGGAGTTACTTGAGGTCAGGGACTGACTTTTACCCATGGATCCCTATAGCCAAGCACACCAACCCAGTACATGAGTTTTGACAAGGAGCTACCATTAACAGCTGTCTTCATATTAATTCCAATTCATAATGATCCCATATATGTCAAAGTAGAACAGTGCTCCATAGGTTTTTCAATGGCTAACTTTTTTGGAACTAAAACACCAGGCCTTGCTTTCAAGGTGCCTCTGAGTAGACTTGAGCCAACAACCTTTCGCTTAGCAGCCAAGCATGTTAACCATTTGTACCACCCAGAGGCTCCATCAAGAACCTACTGTGTGCCAAATCAAATGAAATCTTCAAATACAGGAAATAATATTTGTCCTCAAGGAACTTGTACCCTAAAAGGGCAAGTTAAAACTGTGCATAATTTTTATTAAAGTAAAACATAAATATTATGGAACATAACAAATGCCAGAAATTCTGAAGAAGGGAGTCTATCTGGTAGTGATGAAAACAAAAGGCTTCAAGTTGAAGGTTGATGTGATTGAATGAGGGAACCTCTCAGAGTTTTTCTGCTTAGTTGCAGCAGTAGAAAGAGCACATGTCACACAGACAGTGGATTTGAAACAGACTTTGTGATTTGACATTTTTGATGCGTTGTTTTTGTTTATTACCAAAGCAGACCTCCACCTAAAATGTGGTTTTGCTTCAATTTTCAGAAATCGCCCCTGGTGGATATTCCTGTGCTGCAGTTTAGCTATGCTTTTATCCAAAGGTAATACAATTCCCCCCCAAAACCAATTTGGAATTACAGGTGCCATAACTGTACCCAAAAGCAGTAACTGGCTTTATTTCTTGACAACTGTGGAACCTTGATTCAGAATATGTTTGGATAATGTCTTAGTTACTTCCCGAAGCATGGGAATGCCCTGATGATGGTACTTTTCCTTTTCTAGAGAGCTAACCTGACATTTAAAACTCCATGTGAATTTGTTGAGCCCTTTCTGTTAGCAAAGCTTTACTTAGGCCTATTAAACTTCCAAAGGATCAGGTTTGAATTTAATCAATACCATGGTATTTTCAATAACCTCATATGGATGTGAAAACTGGACAGTGAACAAGGAAGATCGTAGAAGAATTGATGCCTTTGAGTTGTGTTGTTGGAGGAGAATACTGAAAGTGTCATGGACTGCCAAAAGAACCAATAGATCTGTTTTGGAAGAAGTGCAGCCAGAGTGCTCCTTGGAGGCCAGGATGGCTAAGCTTTGTCTCTTATACTTTGGACATATTATCCGGAGGGAACAGTCGTTGGAGAAGGATGTCATGCTGGGTAAGGTGGAGGGTCAGAGAAAAAGAGGAAGACACCCAACGAGATGGATCAGCCAGGTGACATCAATAATAGCAACAAGAGTGGCAGAGGGAGAGAGGTTGGCCCAGGATCAGACATTGTTTCCTTCTGCTGTGTACGGGGTTGTTATGAGTCAGTTCTGACTCGATGGCACCTGACAACAAAAACAACAAAATGAAAAGTAGGAAAGTGTGAAAGACCTCTTTAAACAGAAGGTGGTGGTTGTGTGCCATGGAGTCGGTTCCGGCTCATAGCGACCATGTATAGGGTTCTGAGACTGTATGTAGGGAAGCAGAAAGCCTCATCTTTCTCACACAGAGTAGCTGCTAGATTCGAACTGTTGATCTTACAGTTAATAGCCCAACTCATAACGCACTACTTCTCTTTGGAGAGAAGAAGTTTTTATTTTGATGTTGACCTCGGGTTTTTTGTATGTTTCATACTGGGTAGAGCTGACTCCTGCTTTGGTTTACTGAGCTTAATAATCTATTTTAAGCAGTCTCAGCTGAAGGAGTTATTCAAAGTGGCTTCCACAGACTTTTCTCTATGGGTGACAAGGAAGTTCTCCTGGACCCCCTTAGCTCCTACAATGGCAACAACCTAGCTGCAGCTTCCAGAGTTACCATGTTCCCGGCCCACCTCCCACTTTATGGAGCCTCTTATGTTATTGCAAGAAATGAGAGTGAGACTTAATATTATTAAAACTTAATACTTCCTAGTGTAATCTGTAGGTTCAGTACAATACCCATCAAAATTCTATAAGCTTTCTTTGCAGAAATGGAAAAGCCAGTTCTCAAATTTACATGGAAGGACAAGGGACCTAGAATAGCCAAAGCAGTGTTGAAAAAGAACAAAGTGAGGGATTCACACTTCTCACTCTCAAAACACCTTCTAAAACTACAGTAATCAAAACAGTCTAGTACTGGTATAATGAAAGACATATAGACCAAGGGATAAAATTGAGAGTCTAGAAATAAAAACCTGTATCTGTGGTCGATTGGCTTTCTACACAGATGCTAAGTTTCTCCTATGGGGAGAAGAACGGTCTTTTTAATAAATGAAAAAGAAAGGATGGAAAGAAAATGAATGAATGAAAGTAAAGAGGATATAGGCCTCATCTCAAGAAAGCCATGCCCTGCTACCTGTATGTGTGTATCTTGTCGGGGTCCCGCCTCGACGGAGGGGTGAGCTTCACGAAGATGGGAGATCTGGAGGCATAAGAGAGACAATATAGAAACAAAGACACAGACACACAAGGTTGATGCAAGCTGTCAGGCAAGCTAGCATACAGAGCTAGCTAAAGCCCAGTCTTTCATTCGTTTTTAGATCAAGGCAATCAAGGCAGGAGGTACAAGTTTAATGTGATTATTCATTCATGATAAGACATGAGGTTATTCATGTGATGTAGGACATGAAGAATCACACATTTAATCTTAACATATTTATCAAATACATCATGATTTTTATAATAATCCAAGATTCTTATTTCTATGAGAAAAGTTCAAGCAAGCAATTATAGATTATCTATTAACTTTTGTTTCTGCTCCTCCTGAGTCATTTGAGGAAGCCTTTACTGCCTCAACTCCTGACGGAATTTCGGTCTCATTATTGTTCATGGACATCAAAAGTACATGCTTCAAGTTAATATCAAACATAACTGAATAATGAGATAAAAAAAGGTACTGACATTCCTCCCAGGTGGCCACAAGAGGCAAAGTGTAGAAACCATTTTTCCAGAAGCTACAATCATTGGAGTTAGAAACCTAAAGAACAAGTACAGAATTAACAATATAAGAACCAGAGAGAATTGTACAAAGGTAGCCAACCAGTGAGTTTGCAAAGACCTATGAACCCGGAACTTCAGGAGGTCACTTCCTTGGCCCTCAGGGTCCATGGCCCGCAAGTCTGAGGAGGGCCCAATGACTGGATTTTCGTCCACGTTGTCACAGGGCCTCAGCTTCTCAGAACTTGCATATGCCGTCTCCGACAGTATCTGAAGTTTCACAATAAGTAGTTCTCACAGCCAGATACATTCTTGTCGGTTAACACAGTTGACATCCCACAGTTACCTCAACACAACACTTTCAGAGATCACAGTTGCAGAAACCTAAATCCAATCATAATCTCAGGTATCCCTGGGACCTGGGTACAGTCAGACAAGCTGTTAACCCTGAACCTACAAATATCATTATGTTTCTTTCCTCTGGGTCTCAAGATGGGCTGGTCTGACAGTTCTTCCCTGTAAGAGCTAGTATGTGTTGTCATACGTGCTGTTGTTGTTAAGTGCCGTTGAATCAGTTCCATCATAACCACCTCCTTCAGAGTTTCCCAGGAGCAACTGGTGCATTTGAACTGCTGACCTTATGGTTCACAGTTAAACCCTTTTAGGGTTTCCATGGAACAGCTGGTGAGTTTGAACTGCCATCCTTGCAGTTCAAACAGACCTTGCAGTCAAGTGTTTATCCTGCTTTGCCACATCTGGTGACATAATGCAGTAATTATTGAACAGTACCATTAATGCCACATAGAAGTAAAATTTTGTTGAAGACAATTCACAAATGGTTGGATCAGTACTTTGAGAGGGGGCTGCCAGATATTCAAATGGCTTTCAGAGGAGAACTTGGAATGAGGGATATCATTGCTGATGTCAAATGGATCTTGGCTGAAAGAAGAGAATACCAGAAAGAAGTTTACTTGTGCTTTATTAACTAGGTAAAGCCATGTGTGAATCCTCACAAGTTATGGGTAGCATTTTGAAGAATAGGGCTTTCAGAACACATAATTGTGCTCATGTGAAACCTGTTCATAGTCTAAGAGACAGTCTTTTAAACGGAACAAGGGGATACTGAATGGCTTTAAAACCAGGAAAGGTGTATGTCAGGGTTGTATCCTTTCATCATACTAAGTCTGAACAAATAATCTGAGAAGCTAGACTATGCAGAGAGCACAACCTTAGTTGCTGAAAGCAAAGAGGACTTGAAACACGTGCTGATAAAGATCAAAGAATACTGCCGAGAGCCTGCCCCAGCATATTTATTCCAGGGTTTTCCCGAAGATGGGTGCGGACGTCGGCGATAAGGAATTACACAGAGTCATGGGTCACGATAAACTCAAAATCTTATTATTACATGGTTTATTATTATTATTTCTATGGCTACTCTAATACTCTACTTCTCTCATTCTTTACTGTCATGCTCATTCTTTACTCCCCTGCTCTCCTGCTCTTCTCTTCTGCTTCCTTTCTCCCCTCCCCTGCTCCTGATTTCATTCTCTCCTCTCCTGCTCCCCTCCTACTCATCTCTTCTGTTTCTTTACTAGCTTCCCCTCCCTCCATTCTTGTCTCATTCTACTTTCCTCTACTTACTCTTACCTCTACTTCTTGCCTTTAATTCTTCTTCCTTCTACTGCTTGCCTCTAATTCTTCTTCCACCTCCTTTCTTCTATTTCTACCTCTATTCTTTTCCTTCTTTCTTATTCTATCTTACAAACCGCCTTATATACCATTACAGAAAACATTGCTTTCATAATAATCAATGACATCAAGGTACAATCTATCTTGGGGCACATTCCTCATGGTTTACAATTCTTAAATTTACAACAGGGATGGGAAGTTACAGCAAAGACATTATCTCAAGGCATAGGAGACATTCAGGTGCCTTGAAACCTTTTAGTTAAACAT